TTGTAAAAACGGCCTGCCATAGCCCACCTCAAATAAACTTACACATTAAATCGAGCAAAAATCTTCTCCTTCGTAGCTGTAGCACTGTTTCTCTGCTTTTTTATTACATTTTTTTTTTACATTTCTGCATTTAGGCACTTCCTGTTGCCTGTTGTCATGGTGACTCATCAGGCCTCCACTGATAATGGTTTTTCATAATTGTTGCACATGCACTTAACTCTGAGTGGACTAATTAAGTTAATGAATTGATAAAGGTTATGAAACTAATTGATTAGCCACTGTGTGAAACAAAACACCCAGAGTTCCCGATTCTTGACTAGACCAACTTAAGAGTTGTGAATTTGAATCTGAATTTGTTAAACCTGTTTCGTGAAACAGACCCCAGGGCAACATCCAAACCACTCCTCCAATTCCCTAGTTCTTTATTTGTATCCCACTCAACCCTTCCTCTCAAGTCTGTCACCATTTGTCAACCCCACCCTCCCTTCACCCTCTTCCCTCTCCTCTCTATTAATCTCATTACCTCATCTTGTCCTTTTTGTTTTAGGGTCCATCTGGGGGGTTAAGCACAGCCTTGGAGAGTGAACAATAGGGGTGGAACGGTTCACAAAATCCACGGTTCGGTTCGGTTCACGGTTTCATGGTCACGGTTTTCGGTTTGGTTCAGTATATGTTGATTGTTAGGAATATCTATTATTTCTTGTATAGTATAACACGTGTTGCACAGTGCTTGCACACTGTTGCACTTTTATCCACAACTTTCTTTCCGCCATCATCGCAGGTCACTCTAAATGCAAAGCCGTACCATACAGCAGACCTATAAAGTGCTGCTGACTCGTCTTCCAACCCCTCTTCTTTCCCACTCGCCATACCCACACAGTTCTCCACAATAACTGATTTTTTCTGCTACACCCGGCTAAGCTGCTTCGCTTCTTCTTCTTGTTTACTACTGGTGGTTGGCTTTGGTCGCAGTACTGCCACCTTCTGCTCTGGAGTATACACGCTTCGCCTATGAGAAGAAGGAGCAGTGCATGAACCGAACGCAACACACGCAAACCGAACCGAGACAGTCGAACCGAACGGTTCGGACGGTTTTCATAAACCGTTCCATCCCTAGTGAACAAGATTAGGGATCCTCTCAAAAATTAGACCCCATCTCTGAAATCTTCACACCCTCCATTACTTCCCCAAATGTCAGCAACCCTCATCCCTTCATCCCTCCTTTCTCTCATTCCTTCATCCCCTCATTCCTTGATCCCTCTATCCTCTCATCCCTACTTTTTAAACCTCCATCCAATCAATAAATCTCTAAACTGATAGATTATTTTGGTGTTATCCTTGCTAATTAAAAGAGAACAGTTGCTAAAGCTGCACAAAAGTAGAAAATCATGCAGAGGCTTTAACACTGATAAATATTGATGATGATAATATCAGTTGTGATATAATTTCCCTCTATAACTAGCTATATATTGCAGCAGTTATTGCACTCCAGACAGTTCTTTGCAAAATGAATACTGACATGATAATATCAGTGAAAATCAACCTCCCTGTATGGAGAAAAAAAAACAAAAAAAAAAAAAAACCTTTGGGACTTCATAGCATCACGCGTCTTTAAGCATTGTTCTCAAACTAAACACTGCTCTTGCAACAGTCAGCACACAAAGACAAACCCACTCACCCTTTCCCAGGAGTGCCATCCCCACAGTTCCCCCACAGTGGATTGCCCCAGCTGCCAGAGAAACGTGGTGTACACTGGGAAGTGGAAACAAAGGACACCTATGCTTTGAAGCCCCTCAAAGCTTCTAACCCACGGGAGACCTCCGGGATAGGTGAAGGCGAGAAAAACCAGGACGATGACCCTGGTCAGAGCTCCCCCCCATAGGGTGATGAAAGGATGGTGGAGGAGGAGAGGTGAGAGCTGGGCCAGGCGAACAGCGTGGACAACGCACACGTCCACACAGATACAAAGCAAGGGGAAGAAGTAGCTCATTTTCTGCATAACTTGTGGATTCTGCAGAGAAAAAAATAATAGACAAATTCAGTTCTAAAACATACACAGAAGAACTACACAGAAACTCTAAATGCAGATTTTGCAACAATTTTCTTTTAATACACAATGCCCTTCATTTCAACAAACCATATGCTTAAAACGAAGTAATAGAAAGTTTAATAAAGCAGTTATGTTGCTGTGTCAAGTCTGCGGTTTGTGAAAGCAAATGAAATAGCATGTTTAAACAGATTTATATTACACTGGTTAAATATAATCAGGTAAATCACTTTACTGTTCAGGATATTTTTGGTATGAGGAAAAAAACAAACTTTGTTTTGGTTGGTTTGCTGGTGAAATAAAGAGTCACAACTATGAAAAGGAAGGATCCTCAAATACCTGCATCAAAAACAAATTGTTGTTTTGGTCAAAAATGGTTATCTGGAGAAAATCTCACAATTAGAAGGACAGACGCTGCAGAATGCTAATTCTGCTTGGCTAAAAAGACAAGAAACTGGATAAGAGTTGGTCAAGAAGAGGATTTGAAATTGAGATAAAAGCTGTGAGAGGAATGGAAAGATTAAACTTTGGAGACAAATGGAACTGCCCAAGGTAAAATGCAATAATCCAAGCATTAATCATGGTGGTGGGAGTGTTATGGTTTGGATATTCAATTCAATCCAGTTTATTTATATAGCGCCAATTCACAACACACGTCATCAATTTACAGTTCACCAGATCATACAGTCAAATTGATTCATTTAAGGAAAACCAGTTGATTGCATCGACTCATTTATTCGAATGCAATCCCTCACACTAAGCATGCTTGTAGCGACAGTGGAAAGGAAAAACTCCCTTTTAACAGGAGGAAACCTCCAGCAGAACCAGCCTCAGTGTTCAAGGAGACAGAAATAGAGATACAAAAAAACAATTGTAAAAGGCGGCCCTGTCCAGGAAACACAAATATCTGATCTTTATTGATGGCAGAGGCAAAATTAACTCTAAAGTTGCCAGCTCAATCTTCTCTGAGGAAGGTAAGGTTACTTTCTGCAAGCTTATTGGACGGAATTTCATCCTGTAACATGTTGACAACCAGGAAGAAATAAGAGAAAATAGAATTAAAATGCTTTAAAAGATGAAGCCAGATGTTTGACTACAGTCCAGTTTATTTATAATCGCCTCAAATTTCCTAAAAAGAAAAATAATTCAAGGTAAAAATCCGCCCCAGCTGAAAGGTCTTTGCAGCAGTTTGACAAACATCACCAGCAAAAAACCTCACCTAACTTCAAGCAGTTGTTGCTTCAAGAGATACGAAACAGTCCTTAACATGATACATGATAATTATATTAAAAAAGGCACATTTCTTTCCACAGACGTTGCTTTTGCTTTCACTTCGACCAAATTATTATTTTCTTTACTTTCGTTTTCGCCTACATTTATCTGAAACTGCTTAACGTGAAATAGATAGGGTACAGCTAAACAAGATAAGAGATAAACAGCTGAAAGTCACTGAAATACATTTAAAATCAGACTAACTGTAGACATAAATGCGGTGTTAGCTACGCATGTGCTAACACTGGAGCGAATGTTACCCCGGAACCTAACGTACTTACTTTAAATACTCTAAACAAGGTGGGTTAGGTGTGACTGAGTCCAGAAACCCTCCAACAGTAAACTCAAAATGATCCAAATCCAGCTGAAGCGTTTGGACACCCGGCGGGCAGCTGTTACAGCAACAATCGATCTGAGTCTGCAACCTAGAGCGAAAGTGAAACCAATTATTTATACCTCTGCTTTGGAAAGTCCCCCGGAGATCCACGAAACAATGGACGTCAACTAATATGCGATATAATTCCAATATACTGGCTTTGTTACCATAATATTTTCTAAAAATACGTGAAAGAATAACACTTTGCTCAACCGCTGAAAGACTGTTTTAAAGGGTGACTTACAAAGTCCAACAGCGACCCCATGTGGCTTTTCCACAAAACTGCAACTCCAGGCACAGTATTACAGAAAGTGTTGCTCCGCCCTCAATGCAAAATATGTAAATCTAAATAAGTATTTTTTTCTCTTATAATGCGTTTTTTTTTCTTGAATTAAGGAGGTAAATCAGACACTTTGCCAATGGAACAAGATAATTTACATTTAGAGTAAGGAAAACAATTTCATTGTCTTATTTCAAGTGCATATTATATATTTATCTTATTTTAAGGGTAGAAAAATCTCATGTCAGTGGGAGATCATTTTATTTACCTGCTCAAATTCAGGGTAAATACACTTAATTTAAGAAATTAAAGTATTATTTCTAGATCGTTTTTGCAGTGCTGTGAAAACAGCCCTCACTCGTTTGTAGGCTCACTAATGGCCAATGTCAGGAGCAGATGCTAATTGTTTGTAATAAACTTAAAAGAGGGCCAGCAGATTTGTTAAGCATATTCCACAGCTGCAATGATCCAGTCAAAATAAAGGGCTGAAAGTCTATATATAATCTGCTTTTACTTAAGAGTAAATCAAACACATTTTTTTGACTGGTAGTTCAGATACATTTAAAGCAGAAATATAACCTTTTACTATTTACACATTATTTCCTTTCTTTTCTATAAATGCTTGATTGTTCTTTTTCTTCTAAAGCATAGTCAGTGATGTGAGATTCATACAATACATTCAATTTAATTTATAAATAGGCCATTTTCATCATAGCATAGTATTTGTCTTTTTTAGGTTGTGTTTTGATTTTTTTTTTTTTTTTTTAGTATAGAGCATGCCATAGTTTACTCTATCTCTATTCTCTGCTTTGATTCAGATTTTTACATTTCTATATTTGCCTTGTAACTTTTTAAAAAATAGTTATTTTTTGAAGTTAGATTGAAAAAAACTTACATTTACCGCTGTGTAATTAGGATTCTACTGTTCTGTTCAATCCTGTGTTGCTGATTCTGTAAGTAGGATGCTAAATTCTTCCTGTCAATGATTCTTGCCAGCACAAATAGGCTTGTGGTGAAGGTAAGCAAAGTTTTTGAAAAGGCCTGTTTAGCAATATAGGCTACAGATTTCTTTTAGACATGTGCTAATTTCGTCCATTTTTTTTTTCAAGAAGAATTTTCTTCTCTCTGCCTCCCTCTCAGCATAAATACATCTCTATCAGTCGGTCTTACCCTTCTGGTTATAAATACTGGAAAGATTGAGGGTGATTTTTACTTTTGTAGCAGAGCTGAGTTGCTAATGTTTATACACTGCCTGGCCAAAAAAAAAGTCGACACTAAAAAAAAAGGTCATTCACTCTAATACTTTGTTGAACGCCTTTAGCTTTGATTACGGCACACATTCGCTGTGGCATTGTTTCGATTTGTAATTTACAGTTGTTAAACAAAAGTAAGTCATGTAATTCTTTCATTATGGTGGATGTCAATGCTGAAAGCTGGTGTTTTTCAATTTTAGTGAGAACAAATGATTTCAAAATTTTACAAGATATTGTTATGATAAAACCAAATATACCAAATAAAAAAAATACCAAATTTTCTAAAACAATAATACAATTTCATATTTTTTTTAATGTTATCTTTCTCTAAAAGTTTTCTGTCTTTTTTTTTGAATGCCATATTTTACAAAAAATGAGAAAAGAATGCATGAAATTTCAATCATCTGTACGTCAGGGTTTCAGCTAACAGGTCCTTAAAGCAGCAGTTCTACATCCATGTCAAACTGTCATTTTAAAGAAAAAGGATTTTATTATGATTTAATTACTATTATTCAGATTAATGCATAGACAATTCATGTGTCACAGTAAAACCTAATAAACAAACCAAAATAATCCTTAGAACACAATTAGGTTGTGGACAGAGGATGGATATAAAAGCAGCCAAAGTCCAAAGCTAAACATTGACAAATCTGAAAACCTTCATATATTTTATTCAAGATCAGAAGGAATGTCTCAGATTAGTAGTAGAAATATTAAAATTACCTTTATTTCACATTAGAATTACCTTTATGTCATTATCTAACTCTTTCCAAACTTGTTGCCTTGCATGTTTTGTTCCTTCTGCAACACAGGCAATACAAATGTCTGAAATAAGTATGTAAACAGGCTTTGCATTAAACCAGTTAATGAGCTATTTATTTGTCACAGGTCTGTCGGATAAGTGAAAGTACGTATGTTACAATGTCTTCCTATATATCCTATGCTTATCTTTCAAAACACTTGATGAAATGACTGAATTATCTCCTACCACACTCATCTAGCTCAGGTGTTGATTCCTCACTTTAAAACGGGTATCTTTGCTTATAACTTTTCCTTTGTGAGTGGCATTGTGTATCACAGATCTAGAACAGAAAGCCCTCTGAAGAAGAATTCATACACCTCTGCTTTAAAGTCATCTGTCACGTTTGACACAATGAAATGGCGGCTCCATGTGGCTCTATGGTAAAACTGCACCTGTCGATTTATAGTTCCTGGCTAAAATGTATAAATTGGATACATTTATTTTCCCTAAAAGAGTAGCCTGAGTATTTAACTGCCATGTAAAACCCATGAAATAATTGTGAGAAATTTCTAATATTTTCAACTGGAGTTTTCAGTGAACCTTTTTACAAACAAACCATATATGCAGTAGATCTGCACAAAGAGGCTTTAACTTCTATGACTTTGCTCTACATTATGCATTTCTTTATTATAGATGAGGGGGAAAAAAAATCAAAACTATACTCATATAGCAAATTCCAAGATAAAAATAGCAAAGCATTTCAAACAAATGAATTAACTACAAAACAATATTTATGCAAAAGATTTAAAAAGTAATTTTTTTGGTCTTTTTTGAAGTAGGCATTGAGTCTGCTGATGTGACAATGGGGCAACAGGTGTACCATAATCTTGGCGCCACAAAGGCAATGTATTGATCTGCTGTGGTAGCTGGCCTTAATTACTCATGCCTTTCACCTGCTTCACTCTTTCCAGCTCCTAATTATCATTCTTCCATCCACCTGCCAGTTAGCCTTATATTGGACTCAGTTCCAGCTATCATGGCAGATCATT